GTGTCCCCCGAGGACCGGAGGTGCCGTCGGTTCCGGAGAGTGGCACTCAGCCTCAGACTCAGACTCAGCACCAGGTACTGTCTCAGGGCGGGTGTGTCAACAACTACCTCAATCCTGTCCCATCTTCCCGTCTCTGGTTCTGCGTACTTGTTGTCCTGGGGTGAGAGGGGAGAGGTTGTGCGGCGTCCTGTTGTACCTGGCAGCCCATTGCGTCTCCGGTGCGTGCCATGGCTCACTCGCGGTTTCTTAGCATGCTCGCCCACTGTCTGCTGATATGTGCAGCAGCAGCTGGTACAGAGTCCCTCAGCTGCCTTCCCATGAGCAGTTGGGCAGGGGACGCACTACTATCCTGTAGTGGAATATTGAGGTACTGTAGTATAGCCTTTGCAGCTGCATCTGAGTCGAGGGAGCCTCCTGGACCAGTGTTATCCCCTTAGAAGTCTTTTGGCTGATTTAACTGCTGCCTAAATTAAGTTTGACTGCGGAAAATACGCTGAGGAGATTCTGAGCTGCACTCGCCATGATAGGAGGAACGCCCTGGCTTGCCTAGCACGTCGTAGCATAGAACCTCTCCCCTGGTGACCTGCGTGTAGGTTGGCCAAGACTGCACGCCGCAGAGCTGCGGGGATAACCACTCGTAGGTGTCCCTCGTCATTGGCATACGCGATGATGTCCCCCTGGCATGACAAGTGTCACCTCATCTTGCAATATGCATGGAGTGCCGGTGGCTCGTCTTCCTTCCGTTCTGCCCAATCCCCGGCGGCTTGTAGTTATCAGCTTCCTCTTACACTTGATGAAGGTCCACAGTGACCCCCTCCTCCATCTCTAGGGCACATGCAGAGGCTGAAACTACTACTAATCACTATCTCTTCGTCGGCTCAGTTTCGTCTGGCTCGCCCGCAAACACAGTCCGTTTCGTCTGGCTCGCCCCGCAACACAGTCCGTTTCGTCTGGCTCGCCCCGCAACACAGGTTTCGTCTGGCTCGCCCGCAACACGTCCGTTCGTCTGGCTCGCCCCGCAACACAGTTCCCGTCTTCTCTTTTACGTTGCGCGGAACGCCCCGCAGAGTTTTTTTCTGGCTTTCCTCGAATTCATCAGCACGAGGGTTTTTGGCGGAAATGAACTCACTTTCCCACAATTGAGCACACGTCAGGGTTGTATTCGATGAAATGACATGTCAGTCGAAGTCCTTTTGCTAGGAGGAATGAGGGCGTCCAGGCACCAGGTAGATGAGTGTGCACCCACTAGTGATAAAGGTCGGTCGAAAGGTCAAACACACACAGGACAGCTCCAGCGCCCCTTGCTGCACAAAGGGGCTTCTGGTGATCCAAGCATTGCATGGCAAGGTGCTGAACCACAAAAAGCGATGGCCAAACCTGCTGAAGTCGGTGAACCACTGCCGCTGGCCGTGTGATGTCATAGTATGGAGGCTGCCGCCAGCCTGCCGATGGTCTCCTTTGTGGTCTCGAAGATGGACTGTAGCCGGCTATCCAAACTATCTTGCCTGAAGGTCTTCTCAAGAGCTCTCGAAGGGGCTCCGTGAGGGGGGCAACACTGAGGAAGGGAGCCACCTAGTTCACCAGCCCAAACCACGACCTGATGTCCGTTAGTGAAGGCCGTGGTGGCATTTGGAACATAGTTATGCTGCTCGTAAGGTCCTGGCTAGGCCTATAGTCCTCCCAGTCCACCACGTAGCCTGTGAATGTTACACTTCGCTTGCAGAATCGAAATTTGTCTGGCCGGAGAGTAATTCCCTTCTCTGAGCAGGTCTCTAAAAAAAACTCATGTAGAGGAGGGTATCATCCACACATTTCAGTTTCCTTAACCAAAATGCTTGGTGAAAGCATCCTGTGCAACGCAGTGCCCCATAGGCGTGCGTAGATCACGTACGCGTCCCCATGGCGTGATAAAGGTCGTGAGCTTCCCACTCTCTTCATCCAGGGGGATTTGGTAGTGCCCCGAATGAAGATCTGCAACGGTTGTGTAAGTAAGCTTCGGCACGTTTCTCCGCGCTCGTCCATCCTCCTCAGGGACCACCACCACGCTGGCTACGTCCACTGCTTCCCGTGTTGGTGTCTGAGTCTTTTCGTTGTTGTGTTCCAGAGAGGAGTCCGTTTCGGCGTCAGTATCGGCCATATGGATGTTCCAGTATTGTTTTGTATTATGTGTATCGTTTTTTATCGTTCTCAAGGAGCCCGCGTGTTTAATAAACGTTTGCCTGCTGTAGTTAACTTTTGTTTTAGCCATTTGCATTTAATTTGTGTGCATTTTTGTCAGTTTGTTTGTTGTTGTTTTTTCAATGTACATATTTTATCAGCATTTATTTTCATGTATTAATGTTTCATGTGTTTTATGATTTATGCCTCTAGTTCTATGTATTATTTGTTATATTTCAGTATTTCTACACGTAAGAGATAGGTTGATGATACACTCAGTTATTTCGTAAACTGCATTCGGTAACACAGAACTTTCCTTATTTGTTTCGGAACCAGTTCGGTG